TTTAAGTATCTGTTACAATAAAAATGTGGTGGGATAGCTTATTTCTTCAGTTGTCTTCAAATATCTCAGTAAGGCCTCTTTTTCTTCTTCTATGCTTTAATACTGATTACAAACCACCCCTTTTCAGTGTATGATTAAATGATATGTTAGTAATAATTGCTATAAAATACTTTGTCTGTAGTCTTATAATCAATTGCTCATTTCTACACTTTTCTATAGGGTCCTGATGGGCAGCCTGGAGTAAAAGGTGAACCTGGAGAGCCAGGACAGAAGGGAGATGCTGGATCTCCTGGACCACAAGGGCTAGCAGGATCCCCTGGCCCTCACGTAAGCTGAAGAAGGCAAACTTAAATATGGAACCCAATGTTTGTAGAGTACGTTCAGCCTATTTTGCTTTACTACAATGCTCTCTTTTAAGTATCTGTTACAATAAAAATGTGGTGGGATAGCTTATTTCTTCAGTTGTCTTCAAAAATCTCAGTAAGGCCTCTTTTTCTTCTTCTATGCTTTAATACTGATTACAAACCACCCCTTTTCAGTGTATGATTAAATGATACGTTAGTAATAATTGCTATAAAATACTTTGTCCGTAGTCTTATAATCATTTCTACACTTGCCTATAGGGTCCTGATGGGCAGCCTGGAGTAAAAGGTGAACCTGGAGAGCCAGGACAGAAGGGAGATGCTGGATCTCCTGGACCACAAGGGCTAGCAGGATCCCCTGGCCCTCACGTAAGCCGAAGAAGAAGGCACACTTAAATATGGAACCCAATGTTTGTAGAGTACGTTCAGCCTATTTTGCTTTACTACAATTCTCTTTTCTTTGTTTCTTTCTATTTAGGGTCCTAATGGTGTCCCTGGACTAAAAGGTGGTCGAGGAACCCAGGGTCCACCTGTAAGTTTGTTTGATGCCTTGTGAATAATGCACAGCTAAGTCTAGACATGTGCTTACCAGCCATGTAAAAGTTACTCTTCATCTGACTGTAATAACAAATTATTACTTGTTTCAACTATACAGTAGTGCAAAGTGCAAAGGGTATTTAACTTAGACGGAGATGTGGGTTAAAATCAGTTTTGTAATCTTGTAGACCCAGCTGCCTCATATGTATTACAAATATTCTATTATCTATGTAAAGGGATAAGTGAATAATATGAAAACACTTCATATAACTCATTTATATAAAATATTAATGTGATTCTAGCCATACACGTGAACGTTCAAGATACCTGAAAAATGGAAAGAAAAAAATAGTTCTCCTACCAATTAATCCAGATTCATTCTCACAAACATAGGATGCATGCAAAGAAAAAATATATTGGTCACAGCATGAAAGGGAATCTAAAGGCTTAAGTTTTCCTCTGGAAAATACATGTAACAAGTTAATACTATTATTTAAAAATTGCTTATATGATGTTATATGTTTAGGGTGCTACAGGGTTTCCTGGTTCTGCTGGCAGAGTTGGACCTCCAGGCCCTGCTGTAAGTCAACTCACTGATTCAACCCATTGATAGTGGTATAATTATATGCATACACATGCATATCTATCTGAGTTATTTATCCCTTTATTTAATCCCTTAAAGGCTTGATTTTCTGTTTAATGACTCTTATCCCAATAATTCATACTGGTATTTCATCAAAGCATATTCACATTTAATAATCCAGTATTACAAAGGAGTTTATTTGTAAGTCCCTTTTAGCCCCAATGTTGGATGAATATTTTATTTTAGTACTAAATACTAAGAGTATTATGTGCTAAAAATCATTCTCTTCAATTAGAAAGCATCCCTGATACTTTCTTTAATAAATATTATTCTTATTACAAGATCAGGTTAGAAAGAATAAAATATATATTCATTGTTGGAGAAGAGTCTTAAATAAGTTTGAAAATTCAGGTTAATTTCACCACTTTTTAAATGATGATTCAAATTGTCTGCAAATAATATTTAGACTTTCTTCTGGGGAATGAATCTACAGCTGTGTTTTCTTTGTTTTGTTTAAGTCTACTGAATGACTGATTATCTAACAAGAAAAATGAACCTGCGAGGCTTGGACATCTGCCTCTGAGGCAGACGTCATGCTTCAGTCCCTCTTACTTGGCTTCCACTTTCCCCTCCTGAGTATTTCTTTTTATGTTGTACTAGGGAGCTCCAGGACCTGCAGGACCTTTGGGAGAACCGGGGAAGGAGGGACCTCCAGGTCTTCGTGGGGACCCTGGCTCTCATGGGCGAGTGGGAGATCGGGGACCAGCTGGCCCCCCTGGTGGCCCAGGAGACAAAGGGGACCCAGGAGAAGATGGGCAACCTGTAAGTTTGGCATCTTTGTTTCAGACTACCTCTGGTTGAGCTATTTCCAAATAGAAACACATAATCACTGCCACAAAGAAACTGTTTAAATATTATGCTGGGCACATTTCTAAATCCTTTAAGTGCATTATGCTCTATAGATGTTAAGTTTGCACTAATGTACTCTAGGAAAAGAAAGCATATGTATAGATATAAAAAATATGACAGTAATGAATATTGCATCTAAAAATTAAACTGAAAAAATTCTTTGCTAAATGTTCTCTTTGAAGAAAATTAATAAAATATGTATATTATTTTATTTAATATCCCAGTGCCTCTAAATATTAATGTTTAGATAGATTACTATTTCTTTTATTTTTAAAGTTTCTTTTTGTCTTTTTAGAGAGAATAAAAATATTTCTCTGAGTAGTTACCTCTTTTATTCAGTCAATATTCATATTAATTTTCAAATTCCTTTCCGCCCGATGAGGTTTCACCTTAAATAATTTTAGAGGCTCTGTTTGTATTACAACTTATGATGATTCATCTATAGTATGCCTTTGTGAAACAGAGAACTTTTTTAAAAAACCAAAAGTCCTGTAAAGTTATGATCAATCTATTGGAAATTCTTTGGATACAGTTTTGCCCTTGAAAATTTCTAATTATAGTTTATCCTCAACATTAGGGTCCAGATGGTCCCCCTGGTCCAGCTGGCACTACTGGGCAAAGAGGAATTGTGGGCATGCCTGGGCAGCGTGGAGAGCGAGGCATGCCTGGCCTGCCAGGCCCGGCGGTGAGTAGCTGCACTGGTCAATATTTCATCTAATATGTGCAATATAATTTGTGTGGAGAGAATTGAACTTTTTTTCTTAATAAATAGATTTAATTAGTCTTATACCAGCACAAATTTTAAATTTCTTAAAAACCCTTTGATCTTAAATGCCAAATTCTTAACTACCTTGCAAAGTCTTTGAAAAACATATTTGCTTAACCCTGGGACTAGAGAAGTAGGCAAATAAGGATATGGATTTTTGGTGACTCTTAAATCTTTCTTCAAAGATTAAAAAGATCCATGGAGCTAGAGGAGGGGGATAATCTCCTGGTGAGTAGGTAGCATCTTTTAAAATGAACACGCATAACAAAAACCTTCTTATTTCACAATAAACCATCAAAGGGAAGAAATAGTTGAGCTAAAGTAATATTAGAGGTGAATGTGGGGTGAAATCTAAAGACTCTGAAGGTAATCTCCTGTTCCCTGGAGGGTGCTTAGCTACCTCATATTCCCTGGAGTATGGATAAAAGTTTGATTCAATATTAGCTTTGAAGAAATTAAATTTTACTGCTGAAAGTTTACAATACTTGAGAAGAAAATTAGTGATGTTTTTATATGGAATATAGACAGAGAGATATAATCCTGGGATATTGGGGCTAAGAGACATCTGAGTAGAAATCTGAAACCAGCAAATTAGGACTTATGGGATGTCTTATTGTTATCAGAAGTAAACTGAGGACCTGAAAGTAAAAATCTCTCATTAGTGAGACTAAAGTACCAGAAGACAGAAATAAAATGAGCAGTAGTGAAAATGGATGATGCAGATTTCAGAAGGGCAGCCAGGACTGACTCTGGTCCATGTGATTAGAACCCAAAATGCATACCTGAACTGGTGGCAACGATGCTTTTTGGTGTCTTTGATATGTCAGGAGGAGTGTGGTAAGAGGTGGACTGCCTCTAAGAAGGTATTGCAGTGACATAGGTGTTTCAAGATAATGGACAATTATTATTATAGGAGGGACTGAGACATCATTTGAATAAATATAGCCTTCATGGGAAATGGCATTCTTACATTTCTTCAGAAGCGGTTGACATATTTATACTTTTATTTCAGGGCACACCGGGAAAAGTAGGACCAACTGGTGCACCAGGAGATAAAGGTCCACCTGGACCTGTGGGACCCCCAGGCTCCAATGGTCCAGTAGGGGAACCTGGACCAGAAGTGAGTATTGCAGTAAAAATACCTCTTGTTTTCTGGGTGTCATGGGGACAGATTTTTCACTCAGAGATTGATTTAGAAAAAGCGATTGCACCTTTGACCTAAGGAAGCTTCTTAGTGATGTTATTTGAGGCACTCTACTTCCCTAGGGAGTTAGCTAAATGACATAAAGAAAAGGTAACTGAGATTGGTGTCTTTGCACTGACTTTCATCTGCTCTGGAGCTACGTCTTTTAGTTGATTTAGGTTGTTGCCAAATTGTTTTGAGGGTGAAAGGACACATCCATTTATCTTTCCTCTTGCTATTATTTCATTATGTAATGGCATATTTATCAAAATTGCCAAGCTTTATAGTGATAGGATTAATATAACTATTACAGCTGTGAAAAGGGCAAAGTAGAGATCATTGTACTTAAATATCACTGTAAGGTAGCATTATGGTTGTCATGTTTCTTTAGGCTCTTATGTGAGGAAATAGGGTTTCGACAGGCAATTTGAAAAGTTAAAGGTTGGGATATCGGTGTTCAGAGATTTAATGAGTGAATCACCAGTCAGTGTCACATTTTCTTGAAAAAAATAATCAATGGTTTTCAGAGAAATTTTTGATTAAATTGTGAAAACATAGTTCTGGAAAATATTGAAATAAAATAGGGAGAGAAGACTATATATTTTAAAAAGGAATTTAAATAATCTACTCAGTTTTCTGATTTCAAAACTTTAAGAATATTATTCGGATAAACTTAAGAAGTGTAAGTAAGAACAACCATTCATTGATAATACAAACAAAACATAAAATGGCAAGAATGTGTATTTATTTCAAAATAGTTGAGAATTGTTTTCCTTTTTAAAATAAGAAATAGAAATGAAGAATTTAGATTAAGTAAGAACATGTTAATTTTACAAGCAATTCAGAATAATAGAAAAGATGGCAGAAGCCATTTTTCTACTGAGATTTCCACAAATGCTAAATTATATTTACAGAAGAGACGTGTAAAACAGGATGTCATTTTTCCGACAATTGGAATGAGATTTTTTTCATTACTCACCTAATGAGTTTTTCAAATATTATTCTTTATAGGGTCCGGCTGGTAATGATGGTACTCCAGGACGGGATGGTGCTGTTGGAGAACGTGTAAGAGCAATTTCACTGATTAAAAAATCTCGAGTCATGTAAATCTGAAATCTTTGTAGTTTAGTATTACACTAAAAAACTCGCATTTATTCTCAAAGCTCCAATTCAGTTCTGATATATCTGATAATAACAGCCCTTTTTGTAGGGTCATAATTTTGGTAAATCTTGTAAAAGAAATGAGATTTGAATAGACAGCAAAGTAAGATGGCAGTTTTTACTAGAGTACAAAAGTAAATTTCTTTCATCTGTTGTACAACATACAGACTTTGGATGAAGATACATATGGAGTGTTCTAAATTTCAAATTCATTCACAAAAGTGTGAAAGCTGAAATAGAGCTGTGACATCTAAATTTCTCTACTCACCCCCTAAATTGAATAATCTCTGAGGATATAAGCCACATGGCTTTCTAAACATTGTGTATTTCATAATGTGTTTTTGAATTAGACATATACTGAACTGAAAATAACCCCAATTTTATCTGAAGCTCCCATCCCTTTTGGAGCACAGTTGTCTCAGGCTACATATCAGGCTGCTGAAGGCAAAAATCGCCCCAACCCCAAAGTCTATTATGAGGTAATGGCTTTTCTATGCTAAGGGCTCATTATATAGCAGAATGGGCTTTGGAGCCAGAAAGAACTGATTTGGAATCTCGATTCCCTAAGTAACTGGTTATGTGATCTTGAGCAAGTGTTCTGAACCTCGGTTTTCAAATACTTTAAATATGATTAGTATCTATAGCATTTGTATGTTAAATAACATGTTTAAAGAACCTAGTACAGGGTAGGCACTCAAAAACACCCTCAGTCTGACAAAAAAGGAAAGAAAGAATTTTGGGGAATCTTGGGCTTTCTTCATCTACTGTAACCACAGGGACTGCAAATTCCCTTGGTGTCTGGGCTTTTCTCTTAGTCAGTACTTACTATCTAGTGTAGAAGTCTTTAAAGATTTTGCTGATGCATTCCCTGAAATAATTTAGAAAATCTATGAATCCCTATGCACATTTTAAGTTGTCATCACATATTTTTAAATCAGAAGTTTAAATAGTTGCAAAGGAGGTAATTCCTGGTAAATTCCAAATATGCCTTAAATGTATTTTTTTTTTCATGACCTTGGAGTGGCCAATTTAGCTCATTCAATTCATTATGTGTCTGTTCTATAATGTAATTCTCAAAGTTATCCTGGTTGCCAAATTAATCCCTTAATTTTTCTAATCAAATAATTATTTTCATATATGTTTATATAACAGTGATCTTACCTCTGACTTCTTAAGGAGACAAGTAATATTTGGAGCCATTTCATGATTGGGTCATCTGGATAAAATAGGAGCAGACTCTTCCTTTCCAAATCACTCTTAGCTTTATTCTCAAGTGGAAGTCCCTCAGTGTTTGGCTAGAGGTATTTACACCTCGGGGCCTTGCACCATGATAAAATTGCAGATGGTATGATGCCTACTTTCCTTTCACAAAATGACAGAAGGGTAATTATTAAAGTCTAAGTGGGGAAGGATGCTCAAAAATCAGTTTTCTGAAAAAAAACACATATAAATTTCAAACTCTGGAAGGTGCTTTTTAAATAATTTTCCTTGTTTTCCCATTCTTTGGAAAGTCTTTGTGTATTCCAAGTGTACAGGCACTCCAGTTTGATGACTGCTGGTTTAGGAAACATGTTAATTTCTGGAGGTGACCACTTTTACACTCCAGTAATCTCGACTGTGGGAGCAATAGGGTGCAGACAAGGGGACTGATGAGATCTGAAATTGAGGAGAAGTAATATTATTCTTTGCAATTTGATTTACTAATTAGTAAATATAAGTAAAATATAAGTAAAACGATAAGTAAAAATATGTTTTTAAAAGGTGTATTTTTTTCTATTATGAATGATATGACATGTATATTATTATTTTAGAATAAATGTTAAAAGAATAATATCATGGTTATTCTTGTCAGGGGGATCGTGGAGACCCTGGGCCTGCAGGTCTGCCAGGCTCTCAGGGTGCCCCTGGGACTCCTGGTCCTGTTGGTGCTCCAGGAGATGCAGGACAAAGAGGAGATCCGGTAAGGAGGGAGTCGATTTCACACTGACAGTTCTGCACACTGATATGCTGTAAGCTACACATATGCGTGCACACAACCACACATGTGCATTTGGATAAGAACTCTAAACAAAGACTGTTAAACAACCAATTATGAATTAATGTATTTTTTTTTAGTTTTAAAGGAAACATTTCATTTCTAATAGTTATTCAAAGATACTGATGCATTGACTTCCACCATCTAAAGATGCTGTGATTTATAGAAAATGTAAGAAGTATATAAAAAATATATAAGTATGACAAATTTAAGCAAGTAATGTCTGGTAATCAACTAAGATAATCTTCATTCAGTGAAACCAATGAATAAAATTGACTATGAAAGTGTCATACAACCATACATGTGCATTTGGATAAGGACTCATTACAGGAAGTAATGTCTGATAATCTCCTAAGATAATCTTCATTTAGTGAAGCCAGTGAATAAAATTGATTATAAAAGTGTCATTGCGTTACAGTGAGCACATTCTCACCTACATATGGACATTGGTTTGATTTCAATTAGCCATTCAAGTATACATATATATATAAGCATCCAACTACATTTTGCCATCCTATATCTATATAATATGTGCATATCTTTTTTACATGCCAATTTTTGTGAAAATTTCTTCTAGGGTTCTCGGGGTCCTATAGGACCACCTGGTCGAGCTGGGAAACGTGGTTTACCTGTAAGTTCTCTGTTTTTCTGTAAAACATATGTTTTCTTACTTAAAATGTACTCCTAAAGAAGTATGATTTAAGATTCATAAAAAATATCAAATTCCTCAAGCTTAAACAAAAACATTAATTTAAAATAATGAGTACATATTTGTTTCTCTTTTTTAATTGAAAAACAATTGATTAAACATATTTGTGGGGTACAGATGCTTCTATCATTTTAACACAGCTCCTCTGAATTGAACTATGAATTCTTTCAATAATCAATGAAGTCTTTCAGAATCACAGTTTTTTCCCAAAATAATAAGAATAATAGTGCATTTCTCTCATAGCTGTTCTTAAAATCACAAAGGAAAATGGATTTGAAAGCTCTTTGTAAACTTTGAAAAGTGCTATTCAATATTATGTTTTATTTTCAACTAGACTTTCCTAACGTTGCTCTGATCATTTTGCTATTTGCAATCTCTTTGAGGTTAAACATTATTATATATTTGTCTTATTATGAATGAATTATCTTATATGGTCTAATAGGTAATGTTTCTTTCATATTCCTCATATAAATCAGTGATTATACTCATAAAGAAAAAAATATATCCTTAAAATCATGACCATATTATTAAATCATATTTCTCAGCTTTGATTTGACCTTGACTGGCAAAGATTTCATGGTTGCATGGCATGTCAAATGAATGGTTTTCCAACCAGTTACAGAAACAATGTAGTTTTTCTTTCAATGAATAAACGAATTCTAGTAAATAATTTAAATAGATGATTTCTGGTTTAGTTTATTTTCAGTTATGACACTTTGGGGTATCCCCCAAACTAAAATAATCTTTCTAACATTCTTAAAACATTCAGGCTGATATTGGTATTCAAATTTACATTGCTGTATGAGGGTATTTCAAAAAGTTCATGGAAAGATTCATATAATTTTTTAGTTCTATTTTTCCACGAACTTGAATATAGTCTCATTTTTTTTATTATGAAAAGCTTTTTTACTCTCTGACAATTAGGAAATCCTAATTTTGATAAAGAACCAAACAAAATAAAAACAAAAAACAAAAAAGGAAAAACCCTGAGATCCAGTTCATTTGATGATTCCAAAGTCAGATTAATAGGGTTCCAATTCTTTTTTAGAAAATTCTAAGTACAACAGAAACTGACCCTATAGTAGGTGACCCTATGCCACTTGTCAGTTTACTATGAACCAGTGTACCCCTGGAGATGTTTTTATTCCTAGGTCTAATGCTATTTAGATAGGTAAATAATTCCATATAAAATACAATATTTAAAATAGCAGTAAATACAATTGTAAATTATAAAATTGTAATCAATTACAGTCTCAATAAGTAATATTCATCCATGATTCTATTTCTAGGGACCCCAAGGACCTCGTGGTGACAAAGGTGATCACGGAGACCGAGGTGACCGAGGTCAGAAGGGCCATAGAGGCTTCACTGGTCTTCAGGGTCTTCCTGGTCCTCCTGTAAGTAATTCCTTTAAGTATTATTCTGCCCTCCATGTGAAAATATGCAGGTATCTTGACATGAATATTTATCTGTCATAAAACAGATGGATGTTTTTGTATCTTATTTTTTTAAATTTTTTTAAAGATGACCGGTAAGGGGATCTTAACCCTTGACTTGGTGTTGTCAGCACCACGCTCAGCCAGTGAGCGAACCGGCCATCCCTATATGGGATCCGAACCCGGGGCCTTGGTGTTATCAGCACCACACTCTCCCGAGTGAGCCACGGGCCAGCCCTTTGTATCTTATTTTCATTTCAAAGAATATCTTGATGAATAACTACCCAGTTACTGATATAATTGCCCATATATAAGCTATAATTTTGCAGGGAAAAAATAAAGCAAAGAACTATATTTACCTTTATTCCCACAGTTGTCTTTAATATTGGTCAATTCATGTAGACATTGTGGAGACTGATGACCTTATCAAAGTAGTTTATGAAGCTGAAATCAATGACAGAACACTTTAAAAAGCTGAGAACGTCACAATGCAGGACATAATTACTTTGGCAACATTCTACATTTTATTCCTACTTAGGGTCCAAATGGTGAACAAGGCAGTGCTGGAATCCCGGGACCATTTGGCCCAAGAGTAAGTAACAAAAATTAATAAGTTTCAGATGTAAATAATAATGCTGTTGGTGACATACTGCTAAAGCCTGAGTATTATTTTCACAGTTTTGAAGCTGGAGTTGGCTCATATTCTCTTAAGTTGGCAGCAAACGTATGAAACAGACCATTCAGTAATTAATTTTAAGTAGACATATCCTGAAATATGACCTATTACCTCATGGGCCACATTAAACTCTCTTACCTAGAGTTTGGATATATCCATCTGTTAGTTCATTCTCTTACTTTCAATTAATTTAAATTTCCATTAAACTTCCATTCTTTGAAATGATGTAAGAGACCCACCATGATGTGGAGACAGATTTTGAAGATTTTGAAGTAATTGTGATAATTACTCAGAAGTGGTTTGCATAAGGCTAATTTGGAAGCAAATCATAAATAATGTCAATATTTGAAGCTTTTAGAAATTCTACATTAGTATTAATGCAGTCTCTCATATGTGATAAAGGTGATAAGACAATTGACCCACATATTTAGAAAAATAGAAAAAAAAATTCTAGAAAAATCAATTAGAAAAAAATTCTGCTAAATCTAAATACAGCGTAAACAAATCATACATAAAATTGAGAAAGGTAGTATAAAAATTACTATGATGTCATAAGATTTTGGGGTATAAGCACACAAATTTCTCTTACAAACAAACACTTCAACTTCTGTCATTTTCTTATTCCTAGGTAATTGAATTTCCAACTAAGTTTACAATATTTGAGATTTGATGAAATAATTACCAATAAAGTAGATTACTAGTCCACCGAAGTTTTTAACTCATACTAGTCTTTTACCATGCATAGATGATGGGAAATTCATGGGTGATGAAATCATAAATGTTATAAAATGCCACAAGTTCATTTATTTGTTATTAAGAAAATGAATCTGAGAAATCATTGCGATAGCTTGATATGTAAAATAGTTATTTGGGTAGAGAAAGGCATTGTAAACTTTTTTTCATAGAAGCTAAAATACAGTATTTGTTTCTTTCAGGGTCCTCCAGGCCCAGTTGGTCCTTCAGGTAAAGAAGGAAACCCTGGGCCACTTGGGCCAATTGGACCTCCTGGTGTGCGGGGCAGTGTAGGAGAAGCAGGACCCGAGGTAAAGTCACAATGGTTTGAATGCAAGAAATGCTATTGGGTTCAATAGGTTGGCATATTAGTATGTTTCTGTTGCTTATAACAAAATACACTGGGTATTTCATAAAGAAAGTGGGTACTTTATAAAGAAAATGAAATTTATTGCTTACAGTTTCTGAGGCTAGAAAGTCCAAAGTCTATCTGGTGGTGGTGACAGTGTCACATTGCGAGATGATGGAAGCAGAGAGAGCAGAGAGAGAGGCAAACTCTTCGTGCTCCCCTTTTAAAGCCCTCCAAGCCATGACCACTATTTTTAATCCATTCACTATGGCATGGTCCTATAATCTAATCATGTCTTCAAGGCTCCATATTTCAGTTACCATAATAGGATTTCCCACCCTCTTAACAGTCACAGTGGGGGCCAAGTTTCTAATACATAAAACTTGGGGGACATAATTCAAGCTTCAGGGAGTTTTGGGAGGAAATAAGATAATCTACTACAGTTGAATTCCATCCAAGTAATGCCCGTGCAGCTTGTTGGACAAGAGAGTTGAGGGATCCTGAAAACAAACCTAGAAGTCACACAAGAGCTTGTCTCTTAAGAAACTATTTCAAATATCTTAATAAGGGTTGTTTAGAGTATATAAAATCAGAGTCCAAGGCTGTGACTTAATGTGATACCAATGTGATACCAATGAGAGCAGATTGCAAGTTATGATTGTATTTATAATTAAAATTTTTTAAATGTTGCTTTGCTTTAAATAGCAATATTCTTAATGTCTGTGAGATGTATAATTTCATGAAAACTTTATGAAAATGCTCAAATAGTAGGAAATTAAAGTTTTCTCCATTGAAAATGGCATTTAGAGAGGGTTTCAATTAAAACTTTTCACAAAAAAATTCCTGTAGTATTGACTTCGGGATGATATTAAGCTCTAAACTACATCAGTTAGACTCTTGCTTCTCAGGCGTTTGGAAAACCTCTTCATACACGTATCTTCCATGCACACATGTACACATGTGCATATGTATGTATGATCTTATGCCTCCCTCTGATGTTTCTTTCCCTTTGGTCTTATTTACCTTCTCCTCCTTATTTTGTCTTTTCCCCTAATGGCAATGCCATTAAACTAAGTATTTCTTATTCATAATGTGGATCAAATAGCCTAATATTTCCTACGGTCAAGAGGAATGTTTCTCACTTATTTATTGCTCTGTGAGTAGAAAACAGTAACGGATTGGAATACCTTTGATTTATGTGGCTCTCGATTGACTTTATTTTGTGGTTCAGTGGTCCTTGAGAGGAAAATAACCTTTTCCTCTGCAATTAGCATAAAGGAAGGTATGGAATCAGGAACTTAGAGAGAGAGAAAGAAAAAAAAAGAAGCGTATCTAACTAGCCTTTTGAAGGTGAGGAAACATTAGCATTGAGGTTAAGGCAACTTGTCCATAGCCATAAAACAAGCAGCAGAGCCGGGATTAGAACTTCATCCTTCTGACTCCCAGGTATGTGATCTCGACATGAGATGTGGACCTTGTGCCTCTTCG